AGAAATTTTGATACCAGAGATAAAGCAGTAAAGCACAGTGCTCTTAATGTGGAAGCCAGAAATGCATAACATAATCATTACTATTAGGTCCCTGTCAAACATTAAATTCCAAGTTTTAACATAAATTATGGATGCCATGCATATACATGCATTATGTAAATAATAATTTCTGAAACCAATCCTATACCCTCAGGCATAAAGACAGAGACATTTAGTCCGTCTATACTGTACTGTATTTCACATTACCTTGAGACTCCTCCACTCTCTATTTCCAGGCCGGGAAAGGTACTGCCTTAAAGGTCTGATGACCAACATCAGTGAACCTGTCACTACTAAGATCAGTCCCAATGGAAAGAGCTTAATCTCTGGTTCATGGGGCAAACAGGCGAAGATGGACAGTGATGAGCAGAAGAACAGCTATTGGGTTCAGTCTCTGATCAACAGCAACATCTGGGGAAACACTCTGCGCTTATATGAAAGCTATGATGACTTTATGGCCTCTGTCAACCACAAGGATTTTCCCTTTGCTCCAGCATTCAGCCATGCCAATGCTATTGAGGGTCCCAGTGCTGTCCTATATGGTGAAGCGCTGTACTATCATTGTTACCGCTCTATAGATGTTTGCCGCTACGACCTCCTGACCAGCAAGGTCAATCGGGTAACTCTTCCAGGCAACGAAGTGGGTTTTAACAACAAGTTCCCTTATTGTTACTATGACTGTCGTGCCAACAGTGATGTGGATGTGGAGGCAGATGAGACAGGACTATGGGCCATCTATGCCACCGTTGGTAACCATGGTAACCTCGTGGTGAGCCGGCTAGTTTGGGACAGTGAAGGTGAAACACTCAATGTCTCACAGACATGGGAAACAAGGATTTTCAAGAAGGCAGTGAGTAATGCTTTTATGGCGTGCGGCGTGCTGTATGCCACTCGTTTTGTGGACACCTACCATGAAGAGGTTTTCTATGCTTTCGACACTGCAACAGGCAGAGAGGACAACACACTCAAACTGTCATTGGAAAAGGTGGTTAATGGAGTAGCTAGTCTGAGCTACAACCCCACCAACAGGCAGATCTACATGTACAATGATGGATATCTGCTGGCCTACCAGGCCCTCTTCTGACCTGATGCAGTTGTACTTGCTTTTTCTCATGTTAGCCATGTTCCTATAACACAAGAAAGGAGCAAAGCTTGAAACATATCATTTGAGAGTATTCAAACTGTGTCATGGGTTAGCCAATTTCTGCAATTGTTTAAAAGATTAAAAGCATTTCATATACTGCATGTGTCTTTTTAAGAAGGAGTTATGGTGTAAATAAATAAAAAGTACAGCAATTTATTTCATCAAGAATAACAGTGGTTCCATTTGCCTCTTTATTCTGGCCATATACTAAACATGTGTAGGGGGAGGTGGGAATATCGTTCTAATTAATTGACAACACCAACACACAAATGTGCA